TTACAATTATTATGTATGAAAACCCTACGAGTGAACTTCTTATTTGCTCCCTTTTGGTCTGTTAAAAAGAGCACTAAAATGGTTTTGATTTATCTCTTCACTAAGTGCAAAGAATACCTGTCGATCTTGCCAGAAATATTTTGAGTCAATACATTTCTCTACCTGTGCTGCACTGTTCTCACCAGTTCTCTCTGGTACTATAGAATACCTCCCCTTGTTTTGTAGAAGAGGGGAGGCGAAGGTGTTCTGCAGTCTTAACACACACACACACACACGTATATTATAGGTGTGGTGCCTTTTTTCCGCAGCACTTCACTACTTGCTTTGAAAAGTTGATACACATAAAACCGCATGCACCAAAAACCACCTCACACATTCACCCTGATTTCCACATACCCCCTAATAATCATCTAAATATGCAGACATCTTCCCTCAAAAAAAGAAAAATGTAAGGCCTATAGGATATAGGTGGGTAGAAATTGGCTAATGGCACAATGAATGGCTTGGAGCCCCCTCATCCCTCTCTAGTTATACTCACGAATTAGAGTTCCTCCACCACCTCCTCACTCCATCGGAGCCCTCCCTTCAGCGCTCTAACATAGTGGGGCTTCCAGGTATGGGAATACTCTGACCACCCCCATATGAAAGGCGCTATGAACTAGGCTGGGACAGTCACATTGGAAGGGCATTGGCATCTGGCATCTATAAACATCCTGTATAATAATAATAATAATAATAATAATAATAATGGAAAATTTGATTTTGTCTCTTAAAAACCAGTGGACCATGTAGATATCAAGGAGAAAAATAATCATTGATACATTACATTTTTTAAATGCTAATATGGGTACCTAACTTTGACTGCGTATCAGCCTCTGTACAGCAGAGCTGGAGTGTGAGAAGAAGTAACTGTACAAGAACCCATTTATTTCAAGGAGCATGCTAATGGGTGCTGAAAGCAGAGTGACTAAAAGGTTAGCTCTTCACTATGCTGCTTCACCTTTTATTGTCTAGCAACATGCTGGAGTGTGAAGAATGGTCCAGAATGACCTGGGCATAGAGGAAATGGGTAGAATGATGCTGGCCATTAGACTGAGGACATCCAGCTACAGAAAAGAGTACTGCAGGGGAAAGCTTTGGATTGAAGCTAAATTTTGCAGCAAAAGCTGGTTTTGTAATATTATGTTTTAATAGGCTATTGCTTTTTTATCTTATTTTTGACTGGAGTTCCAGTGACGTCACAAAGGAGGTGCAGCCCACACCATCAGAGGTGGCGACATCAAAACGACGGAACAGTTATTTTGGTGTCCCCCCCTCTGAAAAGTGAGGCACTCGATCATGGACCAAGAGCCCGACAGCTGCACGAGAGAGGAGGGGACCCGGCAACATACCTTATCCCGCCGGGTGAACGTCCCCTCCTCTCTTTGCCCGCATCCATCACCAAGATGGCTACCGCCAGTTAAGTGCGCATGATGTCATTGTGCCCTTGCATGATGTCACGCACGTGTGTAATGACATCACGCGTGCGCAATGGCGTGACACATCTGTGAAGTTCTGCTGTAAGTAAAAAAAATGCCAAGCGTGTATTAATAAATGTATCTTTTATTCACAGATAAAAGTTTAAGTAAGGTATTGTACATTTATACAAAGGTTTCGTAAACCCCATATAAAAAACAAGATGATCAGAAAATATGACTCCATATGAAATGCAATAATACATACACGCGTAAACCCTTTGCAAAGTGTTTGGCAAATGGCAATCATACAGCAATCGGTGCTTAGCCATCCCATACAAAACAGAAAAAAATGCACAAATCACATGCAGCATCTATATAGGTCTGACCTGAGTTTTTGCCTTCCATAGAAAAACTGTAAAAAATGGATTATAAAATGCATAAGCAACATCGTTAGATTAAAAAAAAACAAAGTTATCATGCTTTTTGGAGCGATCACAGAGTAAAAATAGTACACATCGGTCTGCAATTAACATTTCCATCTTGTAAATTCCATGAGAAGGGTATTTTAGTTGATTATGGAATGGTAGAAAACTGAATTTCCCAAAAATGTTTTGCAAAACGTTTTTTATACAGGTTTGTAAATGTTTGTGTTTGTTGTTGTAGTTGTTTTAACCAGGTACAAAATACAGTATTTTCTTTTACCGTTGCTGCATAAAACCAGCTTTTCTGTGAAATCAGAAGGCAAATTCAGGTATGGAAACAAAATCGATTATTGCTCCTGCTACAATGTTTCTGTTTTGTATTTTTACAAGAAATTTTACATATACTGTACAATAGAAATGTTGATACATTTAATGGTCTGCTTAGGTTTGCTGGCTTTAAATTCTAGCACCAAATAAAAAAAGAAAATTCATATGAAAACAAGGCACTTAATTTTTTTCTTTTTCATAAAACACATTTTTTTTTTTAACCACGTTCCTTCCTGATCCTCTTTGACACCCAAGGGTACCACTCTGCATTGTTTTGTAATGGGTTTGACTGGCTCTCTGTAAAAAAAAAATTCTAAAAAGGGGTTTTCTACCAACGGCCAGAGGAGCAGGAGTTGTATCTCTCTATGACCTTTACTGTGAATACAATATTCTATTTTCTCTATCGTTCATTGGTGGGGTCATAACTTCATTCATTAGACAGATGGAACATCCATAAGCCTTCAGTCACTACTACGAACTATTGTTACATAACATTCATTCTCAGAGTCCACAACACTTGTAAGGAATGAAGTCACATAGTAACTCTTAAGCCCTGGTCAAGGGGGAGACTGTGGACCCCCGAAACGTGTTGACTGTTTCATTCTACAGATTTCCATGAAATAAAAAAATCATCCTGGACTCTACCACCAGCAGTGTTACCCCTTTTTGTTCTGTATACCATTATACGTAGAAAGAAGCCTTAGACAGAGAAACTAGGGTGAGAGGCGTCCTAAATCCTTGGGCACTAGGATTTAGCCACTCCATGATACTGACCACCTAGTTATCTTTTTTGTTGTATGTAGCGTCGTCCTCATGCAGGTGGTTATATAAGCCCACGCACTTAATGAATGAAGCTGTGTCCCTCAATGAACGATAGGGAAAAGGGGTTGGCTACCATAAAATCATACAGCTCCACAATAGTAATCAGTTGGACAGGCCAGCAGTTGCTCCAAGAGATCCTTTCTTCATCATCATCATGGTCCTAACTAATATTAGGCCTCTGTGCTATCAATATACGAGTCCCATCGCAGTGCTAGTATCTACCATACATGAGCGCAGATAATATTATGGGCTTTGTTTGATAAATATGTGCAAAAAGCAAGAATAAGCACTTGGTCCGGCTCTTTAAAATTGTGCTTCAGTTCAAAACCTTTCCTATCTTGCAGTGTCCCATGATGCCCTAAATCTCACCCTTTATATGAAAAGGTTTATTTAATGCAACCAGCAATGAAGAGCAATGACTTGCAGCCACCTATACTAGCGGCATAATAGCCATAGCAGCCCAGGCGGCTACTAGGGGTGAAAGGGGGCCCATTAGGTTGCTGAGGCTAATTAAACATTGAACATATGAATTTAACACAGTACTGTATCGTTAAGGGTTGGAGTGATTGCAGTTGACTACTCTTATCCCCTGTAAAACCTACAGTGTAGAGACAACTTCAGATGCACAAGAGAAGTCTTTGGGATCTTGGCATCGTTACTCCCAGAGAGAGAGAGAGGTCATCAGCTCTTAGCATGCAGTGAAATCAGACTAAGCGTTTTCACTAGGGGAGGAGCCTGTACAACAGTGCAAGGTAAGGTAAGGCTGGAGTTTAGCTTTAAAGCCCACCACAGCTAGTTATGTGACTAAAGTCCTCGTTTATTGCACGTTTGTTGCTGTTGTGCAATAGTCTCCCCCATCTATGATCTGTAAACAATTACAATGGCAAGCCATGGGACACGAAGGTTTTGTTTTTAATATATTGTGCTCTATCTCTTTTTTTATGGCAATGAAGGAAGATTAGCTAGAGATGACCGATACTGCTGGGGCCATAAAGGGAGATCACTGAATAAATAGATTTGCATGTGAGCAAAAAATACGGTCATTGAAAAGTCCTTTTGGCTACCTTAAGCGCTCATTCACACCATAGTCCATATTGTAACATGAATTGCAGTAGTGTGTATTGTGAATTTAAAAGAAAACTGCCTCAACTTTCATTTTTTTTAAATGGAGATCAGTGCATTCAAAATTCTCTTGTAGCAAATGCATGACGCTGCATCTGGTGTGAACAAAGCTTAAGGCTACGAGCACACGGCTGTATCTACCTCCTTCCTGGTAAGACAGAGGCTGCTCCATACAAACATGTTTTGTGTTCCTCTAAAATAGATGGACACCAACAAAACATCATTGAAAAATTGCAACATTTTTCTAATGTCTAGGCTCAGAGGGAACAAGATTTCTGTCCTATATTTGCCTGCATCTCTCTTCAGTTTAACCCCATGTGAGTGGGAACAGACAGGGCTTTGGTAAAGATATCCTAAATATCCCATTCACACTACTACCCTGCATTAATGCACATTATGTTACAGCAACACATTAATTAGGCTGTTAAATGCATCAAAAAAGGTGCATGTAGCATTCCTGGCAGCACACCGCAATACACATTGTGCTGCAATGCACCTCAGCAAGGTGTATTGGGGGGTGCCATTCAGATTGAATGGTACTACATCACAACAGCCCATGGAAAATGCCTTGCTGCGCATTACCATAAAGCAATATGGACCCAAACAAGGTTATAAAGAAGCCAAGGCTTTAAACTTGGCGTCATGGGGCCTAGATCCATTATGTCATAGAATTATCTGCTGGAGCACCATTAGATTACCAGGTTAGTAGAGGCCATAACTATAAACTATCCCTTCCGTAGCTGCAATTTGAAGGTAGAAAACCCCTTTAATTGAAACCCTGAGCAGGACAGGTAATCCCTTGGCCCTTGGCAGGTAATCCAGTTGGCTTCAAAGCTTCAGGTCCTATAAATGCTCCATTCTGACTTAAGTTGGTTCCAAAACAAAACTAAACTGCTCAAGTAGGTTAAACCATGTCTAGAGGCACCTTCTTAATTGTGAAACATTACAATCCATCATCGGTTTCAATCCAATAACATTCTTTACAATTTTACATTTTCACATTCTGATGTACATCTGTTTATTTTTTTCATTGCACGGTGCAGGATCATTGCCAAAAATCTTCATCCTCAAATCCATTAGTCTATATTCTTCTGTGTCCATCTTCTTCAGACTTCTACTTCTTTTCCTCCATCTTGCTGATCCATGATCATACCAATATCAAAGCAGGTCACCATCATGACATGAGATTTGCATACATTAACACACAGCTCCAGGTCTTCTGTAACTTGTTCCAGTGCCTCTAGATACTCCTGAGATTCATCCTCCAGGCCTGGATCCACTTCAACTGTTAGGGGCAAACCAGAAGTATGTGAGTGAAATTAAAGGGCATATTTATATACCTATTTCAGATAGGTTTGTCAATATGGTCTGCCTGAGGTGATCCTGTGTTTTGCAAAATTAGTTTAGCCACTGAAAGCAAAGACAATGCGTACTACTTCTGAGTATAGGAAATATGGGTCTAACTACCCTCCCTTCCATGTGACCATGCTGGAACTTAGTGATTAGCTGTTGAAGCACCCAGAACTGTCACATGAGGCTGGAGAATCCTCTATAAGCTTCAAGTTGTGCCTCAGAGCTTACACAGGATTGCCTCCGCACACACCACATGGCCTCAGTCTCTGTTTACACCGAGGTGTCCCATGAACGCATGCCTGGTGCGGGGAAAAACATGCTCATTGATGCGCATTCACGGAAGGCTCCAAAAACATACAGTGTGCTTGCGTTGCCATTACTTCTTAATGGGACCTCAAATACGGCTGAGGAAATGCAAATGTTTTCCTCACATTTGTTCACATGCTAAAAATGTGGGTTGCATGTAGAGAATTCTGCTGCATAAGCTACTTTCCTGCTTTGTCGTGCATGCGGCACCCATTGAAATCAATGGGGATGTGTGGCAAATGTGGGAAAAAAGGCACACAAGCCCCCACACACATTCATAGTACACTTAGGTGTGAAAGTGGTGTAACAGAATAGTAGGGAGCATAAGAAATGTGAGTATGTGCAGCTGGTATTAATGTGGATCTGTTGCTTCCCCCCACATAGACAAGACATAGCTCAAGTTTAATTTCATATAAATAGGATTTATGAAAGTATGTATCTATTAATAAATGCCAATGTTTTCCAAGTACCTCCTGGGATGGATTAGTCTATGTAAAGTGCATCTTGCAAGAATACATTCATCAATAATGCCCCTCTCTGCCTCTCCAATCCATCATGGCTCTTACTCTATTGCTCTACTAAAGCTCGGGTTCTGAGTATGGGGATGCATGTAACTACCATGTGACAGTGCTTGAACATAGGCAGTCAACCCCCAGCTCCCAATATAGTCAGGTGGGAAGGAGAAGTGACATCATCCACTTTGGTAGACTCCAATATTGAAGCTTACGTAGGGTCAACATCTGCAGTAGGGAGGCGACGAAGGAGTGTGGATAGTCAAGTATAAGTGGGTCAAATGTAGGTTTTAAGGAGACGCTATCGCTTTGCCCTGAATGAGCAAATTGAGAGGGTCTCTTTAGGCTCAGAGTTACTGAAAGCAATGCAATCTCCAGAATATACAGCTTAGAAGCTGGACAATGGCAGTTTTTAGTACGTTTTGGGATGCATTTAATGCCCACGCTTAATAAAGGTCAGTGACTCACTAAGTAGTTTATAAATAAGGATAGGGATGACAGACCCAGATCAGACAACCTCAAAAAAGTTACTAATGGCATTTTACTCATCCTCCCACAGAGGGAGGTATGAAACCATATAATGGTCATGGTAGGTGGATGTAATTTAGGAATTGGGTGAAGAAATCTTCCTGGCGGAGTTCCTAAGCTGTATGGAAAGCCTGACTACCTGCAGTTTATTCTTGGTTGGCCTAAGAACCAAAAACACATACACTCTCCTCTCCACTTGTTCGGATCCATCATCAGTCGAGTCTTGGTCTCCTCCAGCTCCTCTTTTAACACTTCATGCTTTGTCTTTAAATCTCGAATTCTCTGTTGCCGTCTTTCTGCAATCTTCAATTTAGTGTTGAAATATATTAGACCCTTTAAATAGAATAGAAAGAAGAGGTCATTTCACATGGGGCTATAGTCCAAACATAAAATATACACACAAATATACAAAATGCTAAAAACAACATTCATTTATGGTGAAGATCAGTCCAACTGAAACTAGCTGTGTGTGTTGTTGCACAGTCACTGAGCAATATATATTTCTTGACAGGAATATCTTTATTTTCTTACATATTTTTTATTTCAGATCACTGCCAACCAGCAAAATTTAATTTAAACTATTCTACAGCCATTTAAAATGTATTTTTTTTTTCAGTTAAAGCGTAAGTTCACCTTTTCATAAAAAAATATACTTACTCCCAACAGTCTCTTCCACCCCCCATCTTCGGCGGCACTTAGCTGCAAAGATGACCATCACTTGCTGCCCACACCAGCTGTTATAGTGGTGCCAACACTTGAAAACGTTACTGCACAGCCTAGATAAATGTTTGCAATGGCTAGCAGTCCGTGCTGACCAACAAGAATTTCTTCTTACTGGCGAAATGGCGTCCTGGAAAAAGTAAGGATCCGAAGAGAATCCTTCAGGGCTGTGTAATGAAGTTTTCAAGTGTCACCAACTTGGGTGGGCAGACGGTGATGGTCATCCTTGTAGCTAAGTGCAGCAGGGACCAGGGTGAGGAGGGTGTTGTGAGTTGATACACCTTTTCATTTTAAGCACATGAGTGATCAATTTCATAACATTTTAATTGCAGACAACAATACGCTTTCCCTTTTACATAATTATTTCAGTTAAATTAATTTAATAAAATAACTATCCTAATTAATTTATTAGCTACGAGACAAAAACTCGCTGACAGAGGAGATAATTAAGTGAAAATTATGGTATACAGAGATGAGGCTTTCCATCCAAATGAAATAAAAGGAGATTGAAAACTGTTTAAACGTTTGTTTTTTTGTAAAATGTAATTGCAACTAGGCAATTAAGTAAATATGGACTTGAAACATGAACATTACATACATTACATTTTAGCAAAATAGAATGAAGCCATAACGTAATTTATATCTGGTTAAAAACTGATAATGAACATTTACAAGTTTGGAAGATAAATTTTAATGCAAAATAAACAAACTAAAGTGACAAACTGAGTTGATTTAACAAACATTTATCTTATTTTGTATCACTCAGCTGTAGATCCTCAAATAATTTCTGAATTGGTGCTGACACTATCCTTCCTTCTGGACGGTGACTACTTTTGTTCCTCATGGTCCCTGTGGGTGTTGTAAAGTAGCCATCGCTCAAAGTTCACTCCCGTGGTAGACTACAATCTCATGTTTAGTTTACTAATTTGTACTAAAGTTATAGTCCATCACTGGAGTGAGCTTGGTGCTGTGACTACTCCACAACACACAAAGAGACCATAAGGAGCAAAAGTAACCACCCTCCAGAAGGAAGGACGGTGCCGGCACCAATTCAGAGATGATTTGATGATCTACAGCCGAGTGATACACAAATAAGATACATTTTTGTTAATAGTTAGGGGACTTAAATGCATTTATAAGATTTAACTCCTGAGTTTAGTTTTACTTTAAGTAAAGCTATGTGAAAAAGTAAGTACAAGTAAAGAATTGTAGAGTTTCAACATATTTGAACAGACAAACATTAGATCTTCATTCAAACAGTGCCCGCAGGTGATATACTTGAATAAAAACACAAGGAAAGTTTGCCTTTCAATTTATTTAGTTAATAAAAAATATACTAATAGATGCAATGGTGTACTGTGGAAAAGTGCATCTTTGACCTCAGAATCTGGTATTGCCTCCTTTAGCAGAAATTACTTATCCTAAGCATTTTGCACAACTGCCCACCAATTTTTTATATTAATTTTGTAAAAAATGTTTACCACGACTCAATGCAACATTCTTTCAGTTGCACAATGTTTGTTGGTTTTCTTACATAAACTGCCCCTTTCAAATCCCCCACAGCATTTTAATGGGATTCAAAGCAGGTCCTTGACAAGGCCAGTCCATAACCCTTCATTTCTTCTTTTTAAACCATTCCTTTGTGAATTTTGTTGTGTGCTTCAGGTCATTTATCTTTAAGAGATTAATTTCCAGTTTAACTCCAACTTTCGGACAGATGACCTCACAGTCATTTGGAATCAACGCCGCTTGTAGATTATTTTCCTTACAGTGGAATGATTAATTTGCTGATCATTTTAACATCCTTACCAGACTCGTAGGCATCAACAACCTTTTTCGAAGGGCTTTAGAGTGCTCTTTTGCTCTTGGCATAATGATACTACAATATCAATCAAAAATAAAGCGAGCCCCAGACCCTATCTGTGGCTCAAGTATGGCAGGTTCCACCAGTATACTCCCTATGGTGGTTGTAATCATTGACTTGCAATCTGGAACACTTGATTCTAATAACCATGGATTTGAAATGGTGGTAAATGTAGATGCGTACTTACTTTTTTCCATGTGACAAATCTGCATTTCTGTACATTTAGATTAGTGAATATACCATGTCTAATTTGTGTGTCATCATTCAAGTAAATCTGCTTCTCTGTAGGCACTGCTTGAATGAAGATCTAATGTGTGCCAGATCAATTATGTTGAAACAGTCAACAATTTTCATGGGGTGTACTTTACTTACTTTTACATGATTTTATGTAATTTAGCATCTTGTCATATAAAGAATTCTTACCTTTTCCATGTCTTGAAAAGTCTAAAAATCAAACATAAAAAGAGATGTTAGCCAAAGTAGAAAGACAAAAAAAGTCACAAGAAAAACAAATGTGAAAATATCTACTTTTATATGTAATTTGGGTGCGGTGTCACCAGCACCCAGATGCTCCTTTTGCCAAACAGCTTCCTTAACAAGTTTGCTATCACATTCTTTAGACTTCAATTTGCCTCACTTAATAGAGACCTCCAGATAGGATAAGTTTTTCAGTAAACCTTTTAAAAAATGCTCAGGGCTTAATATAAATGGTGGGCGGCAGCATGACTTGTGCTGGTTACAAATAATTTCCCAGCAGACAGGCAGGTTTGCCATGTGGATAGCAATATTGACTGCTGTTGGATGGAACTATAATGACATGTAACAACTAGTTTGGTGCAGCACATAGAAATCCAAACTTTTCATCAATTTACAGCTAGAGGTCCACACATTTGCAGAACAAGATGTTTCTTTCCAAACTACATTCAAAAAGAAATAATAAATAATATAATTATACAGATTCAAACAGCGCAAACCCCCTAGCGTTTAGTTTTGCTGACATAGAACATGTTGCATTTGCATAACATTAGGTAGATAACTCCCTTAGTTTCGCAGTTCGCAAAATGGCGAGCTTTGAAGTTTTTACCTCGGGGGGTAGTTATTTCTACTCCCGTCTGGACAAAATCGACAAAACTTGCATCTCTGGCACTGGTAGGTGCCCTTGTATTTGCAGCAGGCGCCACTATTGTGGACAAACTCGCTGCTTGTAAGTTTGTCTTTTAAAGCAGGGCAACGGCGGTAGGTGATGGTGGGTCTCCTGCAGAGAAATTTGGAGATTCTGGGATCCTTGGTCAGGCAGTGCCAGTGCTTCCCCAGTTTCTTTGATATTTGATTGTGTTGATTATTGTATGTTAAGATTAATCTGACCAGGGGATCTTCTTTTTTCTTTTGTTTCGAGCTATTGATGTTCAATCTCGGTGCATCCTTAGCTCTCTGATACGCTCTTTTTAGTATTTTATGTGGGTAACCCCTTGCCCGTAGTCTGATCCTAAGGTCATGAGCCTCCCTTTCAAAATCGGTGTCTATAGTACAATTTCTCCTAACCCTAACCCGTTCATATCAATGACTGCTGCTCTGCCCTGCAGGTATTTCAACCCTGTTTATTTCTGTCCCACATTGAGTCACTTCAGGGAAGCTATGCGATTTTTAAATACGTTTTAAATGTAATGAGGTGATTTATCTTTATGTGTTGCAATGTTTAAATAAATATGTTTGGATGCACTTTATATTATACTTGAATATCTATTTATTGGAGGGCTCCTACTATGGGATTTCTATGCTAGGGGGTTTGCGCTGTTTGAATAAATTTTTCTGAAACCCTGGAGCTCTGTCCATAATTATATTTATATATATTTTTTATTTTCTTAGCGTTACTCCTTTTTCCCCCGTTTTTGCAATTATACAGATCCATTGCTTTTTACTTCTTATTGAATTTATTTTTCCTAAAGGTTTCCTTTGTTTTTCACAATCAATCAGCTAGAAGGTTATTGAGGAGGTTGAAGACTGCCACACAGATATATAAATGTTTCTCGGTCCGCCCATAATCAGCATACAGCATACAAATATCGCATGTTCATGGGTACTACGTTGCTAGGGATAATTTAGTGCAAAGCATACATTGCTACTTCAACACTGGATTTTGACTTAAAGAATATCCCCTGGAAAACGTATTAACCCCTTGCAGTGGGGCTACCCCCCTGCACTGCAAGGGTCAAGTGCTTGTTTGTGTCTAGGGACAAAAATAACGTCACACTCACCTGAAGCTCCGAGCCGGCCAGCTGTCACATCGCTCCCTCCTACCCGTCTCCCCATCCTCCGCAGCACTGGAATCTTTCTCATGTTTATACACAGTGTATTGATGTGAAGATTTACGGGACCCTAGGCCACTACAGAGGACGGGAGAGACGTTGGAAAGACCAGTCTAAGAACAGGCCACTGCGGAGCTTCGGGTGAGTATAACTTTTTTTTTGCCCCAGACACAAATGAGCACTTAACCTTTACAATGTGAGGCTAGCCCCACTGCCGGGGATCTATTAAAAAATGTCTCTGGAGTTCTTGTATAATCCACTGGTGAATTTTTATCCACCTTAAAAGTACTTCTTGGAAGGATCTAGAACTACAGAAGGCAGAAAACCCATGATAAATGATTGCCACTGACTGGTAGCTGGGGGTCTTCTTGTAATGCTTTGAGAGGGGGGGGAATAAAACAAAATCACTGTCTTCTCTTTACAACAAAATCAATCTAACAAGATCTGATTTAATAACACATTAACTGAAAAGCCTGATATGATTTACATAAAGAGTTAATGATCCCAGTGCAAGAGAGTAATAAACGGCTATTGAGCTGGATCAGAAGCCAAACTCCCTTGTACGCTGTTCATTGATATTCCTGACTCCGAACACCCATCACTTTGAACACAATTAATTGTGCAGAGCAATTATTTTAATCTTCCTAGCTAAGTGTACCCCAACATATGAATCATAAAACCAGCAGCTGTGACATTCTCATTGCACTCAGTTTCTGGAATTGTCCAGGAATTCTCCGATCGCTAACTGGGTGCAGATCTGTTTTCACTTGCTAAATATATTTTTTATGTTCTAAACTCAGCTTTGCTATTTTTTCCCCATTTGTTTAGTTTAAAGTACCACTTGAGCTACCCACAAAATCTGCAGCCACTTTAACCTTACACTACTTGGCTAATGCAAGAATGTTGAGTATTTTAATAACGCCAGTATGGCATAAGCTCAGCAGTGTGGCAGCTCAGGTAACATGTTAAAAGAGAACTATGGGGTAAGTATTTTTCCCCATAGTTCTCTTAAGGGTCACGGGAGGACATATACTAGCGTCCTCCCGTGATCCAAAGCTCAGTATATCGCGAGCTACAGCTCGCGGTATACTGAGACCACCGCAGCTGGAACGGATGTCGACAGTGCTGTCGAGATCCACTCAGCTGCCTGAATGACAGCTGGCTCTTACTATCTAGAGGCAGAGCCAACTGTGCCCACCCCCATCCGTTCCTCCAGTCAGCGCTGACAGTTTCATTGTCACACGTTGGCTCGAACTATGAGGATGAGTGATTTTCACTCAGCTCATAGTTCTCCTTTAAACTACTGAGCTACAATTGTTTTCCAGCAAAGATTGCACATGAGCAAAAGTAAAAACTCTCCCAAATTTACCTTAATCTGAATGATCTAATCCATTACACCCCAAATGCAGAAACCACTTGACAGGGTCACTGTTCTTTCTGAATTGTGTAATCCATTCTCTGTTTACTGTGTCAACATTCACACTGCATAATGTTTGTAGTTTGAGTGATAACCTATATTTACCAACTTAGGTTATTAAAAATTTAAGCTATCAAGACCCATTAGGTTTCTTCTTCAGGCTTCATACAAGGGTTTGACTCTAACTTCGGAGTTTCAGCATTAATTAATGGCTAGCATGGTACAAGATTCCAACCTCCTTCCCCCTTCCATTCAAAGTGAAAATGCTGATGCAAGACTGAAGGTAAATGATGGTTGTAAGAAATAACTTAGTAGTTTTTTTTTTTACATTAGGCTTTCTGAATGTGATGGATAGCAAGAATCCTGCAGTGGGTGTGGTTGAGAATGTCATAATCCCAAATAGGGGTTCTCAGATCATCGGGTTGGGGAGGGCTTGAGCTCAATGGCATGCACTAGGTAGGGTATGTTGTGCTTCCTGTACACACCTCTAGGTAAAAAAAAAAAAAATTTCAACTAAAGTGTAGCTTGGGATTAAAATTTTATAAAACAGAATGAGAACACGGGTAAGTTTTCAGAAGCTGCGTGACATTTTAGAGAATACTTCACAAAACACTATTAGTAGCTGAAAAGGCAGAGCGTTGTGATATCAGCTAAATTGATTTAACTGTGAAATTATTACTTTCACAGTCAGCAAAATGTCACCAAAGCCAAAACGTGTGCAAGTTGTGCTGTCGGTCAACAAGATGGAGTACAAATTGTACTGGCTCACTGGGACTTCGAAACGACAGGTTACAAAGTCCTGGACCATAAAAGGAGCACTGACCTCTGTCTCTTCATGTCGGTGCCTCTGTAATCTTTCCACGTCATCGATTTCATAGACTTTTATTTCAAAGGGTTCCTTTAAAGTGCCAGGTAAAGGTGGCAGGTCGACCCACTGACCAGTGACATTGTTCTTCCTGCCAGTTGTTGTGGCTTCAGGGAGTGGAGCTGGTATTAGTCTTCGCCGTTGGAGTCCTTTAAAGAGAGTAAATCTATTTAAAGCAATAGCATAATCCAGAAGTGTCAAGAAAAGAAGCAGAAATTAAGGGTCAGTCCAGCTAAAACTTGCAGTTCAGTTTTTGGGAAAGGCTGGAAAATTAAACTACCTGACGGGGATTTAAATTTCCCAAATACCCTATTATTAGTGAGCTATCGGTGCTTGAGTTCCCAGGTCTTCCCCCCTCCCCCCTACTATGGCCATTATGAGGTGCTCCCATATTTCCTGTTGAATTTATTATATATCATGGAGAGTAGTGCTGCAACAACTAATCGTTTAAATTCAATTATAATTGATAATAGTTGGCAACGATTCTCATTATCGATTAGTTGGTGGAGAGGGAGGGAGGGGGAGAGAGATTTTTTTAATACAACCAATCGATTCGTTGAGAAAATAATTGGGCAACTAATCGATTATGAAAATAATCATTAGCTCCTAATGGAGAGCTGAAATACCCAAAACTAAATAGAGGACAGGAACATACGAGTACTATGGCAGGGAGATCTCACTGTTGGAATATCTTAGATACATAAGAAGTCAAGGGCTGACTCAGCCCACTAGGTCCTACCTGTAACTAAAATATAATTTTTAAGTTAAATGACCCTTTAATTCAGGTTAACGCTAAAGCATAGCATTTACCCCCATCATCTTTACAGCTTTAAATCAGAGTATTTTACTATAAATGTTTTCTTAAAGGGCCAGTAACCAATATTTGGGTTTAGTTTAAATAGTTTTAACAATAGTCACAAATCTGTTATTTTCAAGTGTTTACCATAACTGGAAATACTTCAGATTAATGCAGGAGAAGGGATTTCCCACAGATGACTTTCTGTTTAGTAATCCTACACATCACTACAGCAACTGCCACTAGAAGGCTTTAATTAGCTTCATTTGTCTAATAATATGTAATAATTGGCTGCAGAGCAAAGGTAATTGCAATGTCAAATATCTCAGGTTCTGCACAGGTATGGGTACCTTTACATGTGTATTTGAGAATTATATCAGCTTGTTTAAACATAGCAGTATGTTAGCTTATTTTTTTTTGTCTGTTAGAAAAACAAAAATTATCTGCACACTATGGACACTGTGCCGAAATAGCAGAACATTAAGCATGCTACATAAAGGGGAAAAAGTACCTCTTTTCTTTGGAGATTTTAGGCTCCTCATACGTCCAGATGATGACATTCCACTTTCACTCATTGAGTCATGAGCTGAAGAGGCGCTCCCTGTGGCTTCACTATCGCGGATCATACTCTCATAGCCACTGCTGCCACTATGATAGAACAGGGCTGTCCTACCCATTGCTGGGGGCAGCTCCCCACTGAGAACACTGCTGTTATCACTTCCATGACCACTGCTGTATCTCTGTGGTCTCCTTGGGGCTGTTATCTTGCTGTAAGGTGACGGCAAAATTGGTGTTTGCGATTTCTCATCACTAAGGTTAACACCGCTGTCATTTCCACTGTCCGAGTCGGTTGATCCCCGCAAGTGACCTATCTTGCTTGAGCTGCCAGACGCCAACTCATTGACTCTGTTGTTTGCTGCCCTTAAGGCTTGCTTAGTCCCCATAATTGTTCCTCTGGCAGTCTTGCTGCTAATGCACTGTACCGAACGAGAACCTGCTTTCCCACTAGGAGGAATGCCAGAAGCTTTCCCATTAGACTGGTTCAAAGACTTCACTGAAGAACTAAGTGACTTTGAGCCATTGGTCGAAAGACTGCGGTTCTTGGTTAAGCTTGTTGTTGCTTTTTGAGAAAGTGAACTTTTAGCCTGGTTGTTTTTGGTGATGGAATTGCAGGAAGGTGGTGAGGTAACTGTACTAAGTGCAGATGGTACCCCAAGCCTTGGTACAGTCCGGTTTGCTTTGTTAATACTACTTCCACTAGTGTTATCGCGAGGCCCGCTAGTTCTTGAGCCCATGGATCCTACACTATCACATCTTTCCAGGGACATATGACTTCCAAAGCGTTGAACATACTCTGATTTATTGGACTTGCTCTTCAAGCTGGATACAGCTTTGGGTAGCGAATGGTCATTCTTAGTTATTTTGACCTGTGTTTCGCTGTCCTCTTCCAAATTTAGAGCAGATCGACTACACTCTTCTAACCTACCAAGGCTGTTTAAATGCAGAGGATTATTTTTATGGTCTAAGCTTGATTTACGTACAGGGGGTGCAGGAGGTCCTGTCCCACCAGGTCTTGGAAGCATGCTTGCTTTTTGAGGCAAGTTCTTCTTAGTCCCTGATGATTTTAAACTACCATCATGAAAAACAGAATCTGATCCCCCTTTAATACCATGTTCAGTTTGAGAGCTGTAGTTTGTTGTAACTCCTAGAGTTGTAGCACCTCTCCTAAGCTGTGGTACTTTTGTAAGGGGTTCTGTCTTTTTGGTGGCAGCTTTGGCATCCACTTCACAGCCATCCACCACCCGCTGTGAACATGCTGGCAGTATCTGGGATTTCAGAGCCTTAGGTGTACTAGTTTGTGCAAGTTTTGAACTCTGTTTAAATTGATTGTCTGTACCCGGAATGGAAGATTTAGCAGAAAGCAGCTGGTTTTCAATCCTTCCCTCTAAGGAATTATCCATTCGTGCTGTCCAAGGGTCCTCAAGTGTGCCTTCCTTTCCATTTAATGCACTGGTGTGTGTTACAGATGAGGTAGACGGATTTTTCCGAGGAAGACTAGAGTGGATTGTGTCAAATGATAATGTACCTCGGGTGCTACAAGCTCTAGTCTTGCTAGTTGCTTGATAACTGCTTGGCATAGCTTTGGTTAGCTCAGAGGTCTTAAGGCTCTTCTCATTGCTAGTATAAAGCAGACCAGAACCAATACTTTCACTGTCCATTTCGGAAAAGCAAAACCCACTATCATTAAGGTAATTTTTCAGATTCTGGCCCATTTGAACAGTTGTGTTCTCTGAATCCAGAATCAGGCAATCTACAATCTCACTGCTTTTATTAGTCTCATGAGGAAGTAAAGTGTCACAGTTCTGTGCTCCATCGCTTCTAATTGTACAAATGCTGACTTCGCTCAGCCATGAACTAATGGATGAGCGTCGGCTGCTGACTGTGCATTGATCCTCTGCCAAGGGCACCACAATATCAATGTTGACACCAGCAGCAGATTTCTGTGATGTGTAGGCATCAAACTCATCATTAATACTGCTAATAATACTGACTGGCCTAGAGCCAGAGGCAAGGGCCTGCAGAGAACAGTCACTGTTAAAGCTAATGACGCTAGAAGGTCTACCATTGTCAAGAATGCCACCAATAGACAACTCTTCTACAACAGTGAAAACAAGTTCATCTTCTCCATTAAGTTCAACAGGCTTCTGCAAAGTCACTGTGGTGGTTAAGATATCACGATCAAAACCTTTGCTTTTTACTGCTGAGCAAAACCTGCGTACCTCAACTGGACCAGGCTGTGTGGGAGTGCTACTGACAACCGGGAATGTGCTGCCTAGTAAATTGTGCTTGTCCTGACTTTCTAATTTGCTCATACCGATGGGAGGAGTCCTGACACCACTACTTGATTCTGAGCTCATGTGGGAGTTCATCTGAGGAGGTGGTGGTGCAGGACTGGGTAGAGGTCTTCTTGTAAGGAGGTTTTTTTCTCTTACTGATGAATCAGCAAATGCTTTTGGTTGCTCTTTAATTTTGCCAGCACTTGGCAGCGAGCACTTTTGCCTTTCTGTGATTGTCAGCTGATCTCCATTTGAGAAACAGTCCAAATGTGTACTTTCGGCTTTGGCATGTTCTTGAGGCTGATCAGATATGAGATGAGGTGCACTTGTTTCTGATCCTGAACAATTTTGTGAAAAAACAGATGAAGCATTACTGGCTTGCCCTTTCTTTGGAGAATATGGTGGTTTCTCCTGTATTGGCATAGAGGGTGCATTTTCCATGGCTTTAGTAGAAAGCGCTTCTGAGAGAGCTTCTTCATTAAGGAACCTGGAAGGATTCTCACTGCCATCAATACACTCAAGTCTCTCCTGTAGCTCAGCAAAAGTGTTGCATTTTAAGTGATCATTATCAGAACTTCGAGGGCCTGATATGTTGTCTTTGCTTCTTTTCTTAAGAAGTGAGGGTATGATGGGAACAAACTCTGGAGGACCTTCATTGTCTGTTAACTCTTGGTCAGACAAAACCGCCCCATTGGGACCAACATAGATAACGGTGTCACATGACTGTTCACTACTGGAGGAATAGTCGGGATCACTATGCATTCCCAGCCCAGGGAAGTCTGGATCAAGTGCTACCGTCCTTGGATGGAAAGGTCTCAAGTGTGGCGGCCTTCGGGCACGACCTTCTTCACAGGAGCTTTCTCCTCCAGAAGAACTTGATGCATACTAGGAGAGAGAAGGGAAAGATGACATAATTTGCAAGTGACAGCTGCACATTTTTTTATTTTCTACTTTGGTGTAAAGATTTTTCTCATATTGTAACCATTTTCTTAAATCCATGTAAATGATTATTTGAAGAGGGCACACAAGTTATTGTTAGTAGCTTAGTCACATCACTAGAGAAAATTAACTGCACAAAAGGCACACATAGTTCCCGCTCACAGCAATGTTAAATTAAGTATTATTGTTTCAGGTGAAACAAACACCTAGGGATGCACTGATACCGTTTTTTCGGTATCAAGTACCGATTTATTTATTTTTGGTACTCGCCAATACCGAATATCGATTCGGGTCCCATTAAGGAATCCAGGAGGCATGTAATGACTCGCTACCCATCTTCCTGATTAGCCGGGAAGCCGTCTCCATGCTCCCTCGTCACCAGATGATGAAGAAGCATGGAGCCGGCTTTCTGGCCAATCAGGAAGCCGGGGGGCATGTAATGACTTGCCACCTGGCTTCCTGATTGGCCAGCTTCCCGGCCAATCAGGATGTTGGGCGGCGAGGCATTACACAGCGCCCGCTTTCCTGATTAGCCAGAAAACCGGCTCCATGCTACATCACCAGGTGAGGAGGAAACATGGAGCCGGCTTTCTGGCCAATCAGGAAGCTGGGGGCAGGTAATGACTCGCTGCCCGGCTTCCTGATTGGCCAGTTTCCCGACACCCAGCTTCCTGATTGGCCGGGAAGCTGACTCCATGCTCCCTGGTGACAAGGGAGCATGGAGCCAGCTTCCCGGCCAATCATGAAGCCGGGCAGCGTGTAATGACTCACCGCCTGGCTTCCTGATACCGGAAGTTCCAGTATCGGGATAGGCATCGGGAGCATTTGGGCGAGTACGAGTACTCGCCCAAATAGTCGGTATCGGTACTGATACTAGTATTGGTATCAGTGCATCCCTAGAAACACCCCATCAAATTTTGCACTGATGCAACATTTTTCCCCTGATGCTTTTTACCCTGTCGCTGGGCTCAAATGTGAACCGGTACAGAATTATATGGGGTGTTTGTCCTACCTGGAATAATAAATCTATGAAAAATTCGGAGGTGAGAGGAGTACGGCCTATTCTTGTACGTCTTGTGGATGTTTAATAATCTGTTACTGATAATAATATATATGTTCTAATAGTTTAAAGAAGCCACTCAAAAGTGATATTTAGGATTTAGTTGAAGGTCATTCTGTTGCATTCTCCATAATATAAAATCTTCCCAACACAGAGAGTGGGAGCTCCTCAGCAGGTGTTCACATCTGGGAAGTCAAAGATATAACATGTTTACCCACACCTAACAAACACTGAAATCTGTGTTTGGTAGACTGACCCTTTGATGCTGTTTGATGCATACCCAATTCTTTAAAAAAAAAAAATGACACACACACACACACACACACACACACACTTTGAGGGAAATTAACCCCAAAGTTTTTTAAACCTATGACAGTTATTTTTTACTGATGTCTGTACAGCAAACTGACATCTGCTTGCTATCGGTTACTGCATTTTGGATGTTAGCATTGACCTCTGCAGTACAATATAAAATTTGCTTATTTCTCTACACTAGTTATAAATATAACCTGAGTATTTTCTGGGCAGCACTGTGCTGTGACATTAAAGGAAAAAATATGAAAGCAATTTTGCATAATATTAATACAATGTGGCATGCCTTTGACATTATATAGGCTCCCCCACACCCCACTTGCAGTGCAAAGAAAGAACAAACTAACCTTGGATTTTTTCTTTCTCATTCGATGAATCCTTGAAGCAAGCTGAACGGTGGCAATGGATTCTGGGTAATTTGCAGGAGAATCCGAGATGTGTGCAATCATGGTTGTTCGGCAGTTAATATTCCCCAGAGATTCCCTCAGGAGCATAGTTAATTTGCTGTCCCTATTTAACAAGGGAGAATGTGAATTAAAATTCTGCGCTGGGCATTTGTTCCTGAGGAAAGAGACATTCCCTTTTTTTTTTTTTTTCGTATTCCAGCATTTTAAGGGCATGTCAACAAGCAAGTGAAAGGATTACATTATAAATACCAGCTGTTTCCAGAGCTATAAATGACAGCTAGCTGTAATTTAACCTGGCCAGACTGTCATAAACTTCAATGCAACTTGGTTAATGCCCCCCTTGGCTACAAGGGGATTAATTATTTCCATTTTTGACACCAGAATTTGCAAACAATTCAAGAAATGAAGCAGTAAACCACTGCTAATCATAATATTGATGGAAATTAGCTCTGGTTGGTCTCCTTTCTGAAATACTAATGGCATAAAGAACAGGTACAAAACCAGGATGTATGCCTCCTACATGTAATGCTAGTCTCCTTTTAGTATGTTTGTGCAGTATACTAGATAGATCCTGTTTATAGCACTGAACTTCAGTTCTACAACTGCTAGGTTTGTGGCCCCATCCCCTGAAATCACAAATCTTTGTAGCTGCAGGATTCCCAACCTTTAACGTAACGTAAATGCCTTGCACATCCCCACTCCATTTGGCTACCAAAATATAGGAGAAATAGTCCACTGTGAGCTCCATGTTACTCTAATCAGAGTTTACAGAGGTCTAAGGATTGTTTCTTCATCCCTACAGGACATCACTGGTACCTGATGATTGGCCACTTATGTGTGCAACACTGCATCACCAAGAGGGTAGGCATGTAAGTGAATTTTTGAATCATCAAAGTACAGATTCACATTAGGTTTAAGCATGGTATCTTGGCTTAAGGGCACATTCATATCGCCACATAAATGCAGCCAGCACTGTCCAGCTTGTGACTGGACAGTGAAGAAGCAACAAGGGACTCCTCAAGTTATCTCTCTGCTCACTAAGGCTGATATCAAGTCAAAAATAATGTATTTATACTAGCTGCATTATATAAAAAAATCTAAAGATGTATTTGCCAACTGTAAATGTAATTTTATAGTAACTTTCAAGTGCTATAAAAACAATACTGGAGATATAAATATGGAGACATTCCCTGCATGCAAGTATAGCGTTAGAAAAAGTCTATGTACAAGAGTAAAGCTAATCATACACTGCTCTCGAATTCTGCTTCTAGTATTCTGACAGCTGCCTGTACTGGCTGTCAGAATACAATAGGATGGGTGGATGAAGGAGTCAGCCCTCAGGACTGAAAAATAAAAAAGTGTATGGCAAGCTTTACACACACAAGAACACAAGATTAAAATGAGAGGAGCTAACAATGAAGGATGCATCAAGGCTGACACTTGATATGTAATAGGTGTAAGGCTTACCTATATGGGATGTGCTTGGCTCCATTCACTAGGGCCATTATGACACTGCCTAGAGCATTCAGCGATAGACTTAGCCCACCTCCACCATCACGGCTTTTACTCAGCACTTTTTCACAGCTCCCAAGGTCAATAAGGTGCAAACGGCTGCGTCCTCCTGACACTGACAGGAAAAGAGAGACAATAGATGTAGCATCTAAAGGAAAAGCATGGCCTCCTGTGAAAATATGCTTCACCTAAATATAAGCGCATCTGCACTTACAAATACCTGTTGAGCATGCCAGGGAAGTCCACCTAATGCAGCTCCCTGTGATGGGGTGGCAACAATGCTGCACTGCTCCTGAATTCAGAGCAGGGTTGCCATTCTCATGTAGTCTGTGCTTGCTTGTACTACAATGGGATAAAAAATGTTGTAGGGGGTTTGGATATTAGCATTGTCACTTTTGATTTTATAGGCCTGTAGGTCATCAATGAGCATCTGGAAACACCCAATACAACCCACTTCTCAATGGATTAACCACACTGCCTCTGTTACTGAAACCCTTCCATTATGAGCTGCAGTGTCTGGGAGGGGGAGCATGTGAGACACAAATGAGGAGAATTTGCTTCACTCAGGGAAGGTAAAATAAGTTTTTGTTTACTTCATGAGGCCTGTGCATCACATAGTAACTGGATTTAGTACTTGTTTAGACGGTCATACAGGAGCCTTTAGTTGTTCTTTAACACAAGACTTCATACTTTTGCTGCTGCATGTACCTAGTGGAAGCACAGTATACAGAGTTGCTTAATATTTCATTAATATTGAGGTTCTTGATCAACTGATTGTGAGTGGGTAGCCCTATCTGCTGGCTCCCATTCCTTATCCTTTGCTAGCAGGCACGGTTCAGGTATTTTGACAGCCATATGGGTTGACTGTCAAAATACAGTAGCGTCAGTGGGAGATTTTTCCATCTATACTACATAGCATGGATACCCAGCTTTAAGAAATGCTTCTTCCTTCCTGCCTGCAGCAAACTGATGGCATCATATCGGTCTTAGAAAGTCACTGGGATGGAGCGCAAGGTAAAGCTTTTCTAAAGTTATACTGGTGCTGTATATTGTGACATGTCAGGAATTTATTCATGCAGATTTGTAAAGTTTCTAAAAATGTTTACTTTAATTCAGCCATATTACTCAGCTGCATCCTTGTTCCACACTCAAACTCCAACCTCATCTAAAACAAAGCAAATCTAAAAGAAGCAGTAGAGCACATTAATTATAAATATATATACAGGTGAAACTCGAATAATTAGAATATCGTGCAAAGTTCATTTATTTCACTAATGCAACTTAAAAGGTGAAACTAATATATGAGATAGACTCATTACATGCAAAGCAAGATAATTCAAGCCGTGATTTGTCATAATTGTGATGATTATGGCTTACAGCTCATGAAAACCCCAAATCCACAACCTCAAAAAAGTAGATTATTACCTGCAATCAATAAAACAAGGATTGTACATAGAATAATATCGGACCTCTGAAAAGTACAAGCATGCATATGTACTCAGTACTTGGTTTGGGCCCCTTTTGCAGCACTTACTGCAAATACTTTTGCACGATATTCTAATTATTCGAGTTTCACCTGTATATTTTAATCCAGCTGGTGTAATTGAGCTGATCGGTATCTTTGTAATGAGCTAACAAATGAAAGCTGACTTTCAACAGAAGTATCATCTCCATAAGCTAATACTTGCTAAGGGAAGGTACGTAGGTGGACCTACAGGGAAGAGTGATCTCCTAGTAAGCTGCATGGGACTCGAATGCAGTTAGGAGGTGAGACACAGTAAAGAACTGTTCTGCACAGCAGGCAGTGGCCAAATCACAAAAGTGTGTGCAATCCTTTGCAACTTTTCTGGTGAAGTAGTTCATGTCTTTTAGCTATGCATCTTCATTCTTGCAATTTACAAGGTACAATGGATGAGGTATTTGGGAGGCACAGGCAATACATGCTTCTATTCTTGATTATCTCAGGAGGAAAATGAAGCACTTGACCTTTTAATACTTCACAACCTTACCTAGCCCAGCCCCGACCATTATTTAACGCTACTTCCATTTCCTTCCATTTTTTGTATTCCCCCAGCACAAATCTGGCTCTAGGAAACCACACTTCTCTATTCAACAGTAGGAAGCCCCATTGTTTCCCATGAACCTGCTAAGAGCATCAGTTTTATGTGCACCTGCGATACAATACTACATGCTGGAGAGATTGTTTGTTCAAGATTTGAAGAAACAGAACTTTAATTGATAACATTTGGCCTCATTTAAAAAAAAGTGTCTGAAGGGGGAAAACTTGTCTAAACTAGCCAGTAGGTTTTCCCTTTTATGTTCCCACTCCAGTATAAAGGATGAAAAGCAGAATCTGGGATTAATTTGTCCTTAACTGATGTGGTATGGTATGTAAATGTCTCTGGGAACTGTTAACACCTTTCCCTGGGATATAGGCACTTGCAAAGACTTAGCAGCTTCTTAAGAGAAAGCTGTAGAGAGCGGAATTCAAGGACTTTTACTTGAGACCTTCATCTAAAAATACAGTTTGCCTGACTGTCCCTGGACTTCTGTGATAATGGCCCTGGAACTAGCATGCTATTTAGATAGTGTGAAGTAAGAACTCTTGATCTGCATGCGCATTCCAGGTTAGTGTCTTAGAACTGAAGCCATGGGATCAGCATGACAGCCAGGTCCCGGGAATTATTTTAGAAGTAAAGGTTAACAATGGTAGGCTCTATACGTTTACTTCAATTTTCCTTTCAGACCACTTTAATATTTTGCAATGTATTATTAGAAAAGGTAAAAAGAGTACTGTGCAAAGTGCCAAAGCAACCGATCAAAATCCTATTTAATAGTCTGCTCACACATTAATGATTGATATATGTTTTTCTCAACTCTGCCAGTCATCATTGCTCCATCTTCTTAAATATAACCACTGTTGTGACAAACATACTACACTGCATAGCATCAAACCACACGTACTTCCTCCTTTGCCACTCTTCTCCATCCTGTACTGGTATATGTGAAGAGTAAAAAGCATATGAGAATTCCTCCTATCTTCTTCATCACAATCCGGCATACTGGTACTCCTTGCTGCTAGGGCTGCATCGAGAAAGTGAGCGGCTTTCTCTGCTGTGGGGGCTCTCAGCTCGCTCTGGTTTTGAAGCTGCAAGCATGAATAAAAAAAAACACTTAATTAGGATAAGGGTGTTCTTTCTTCCACAACCGGCCAAGTCTCTCGGGCAATCAAAAAAACAAATATGTACGCCCGGGGACTCGGGATTCTGACTCGTGGCAAGCAAGAGTTTTCTTGAGGTTCTTAATGGCCGAAAAGAAAGATTTGCAAACAAAAGGCAGTTTTTGGAGAGGAAGAAAAAGAGGAAAACTTCTAAATAAATCATCCGCAGAGTGCCATTATACCTGAGTCCCGCATATTGGATCTTCTCGGAGATAGACTCCTGGGGATTGACCATCTTGAAGGCTACCAGTGGCTACTTCAGCTAGCAGATCTTTAAGATTTTCATCCTTTCCGCAGATTTCCACAGCAGATACTCTGATTGAGAAGCGAGTGCCAGTCTTTTCTCTGCGCTCATTGATTAGCTTGAAAAGCCAAGAGATTGCACAAGGTATAATGCCAAGGCTTTGTGTAGAGGCATCTTTACCAATCATGGTGTAGGTCTTACCTACAAAAGGAAGCACAGTTAGATTCTGATTGTCCTCAGGACAATGGGCTCGTTTGTACAGATGATCAACCACTAATTGCCATACAATTGTCCAGAAGCAAAGAGAAAAATCTGACAATTTACAAAACTGTTTATTTTTAATGAGCACATGTAACAAATCTACTGTCATTTTAGAAGAATATCTTTTCCAGCCATGCATCTGTGCAGAAATATGAATTTTTGCCCCCGTGTCGCAAATACGCATATACAAATCTGAATTTAACCTCCTCATGTAGCTATGCCACCTCCTCTTTCTTAAGGCCCAACTCCAAGCAGACCAAAAAAAATTGATGCCCCCCTTGTGCATGATATAATGCTTGTGTTGTCTAGGGGGCTCTAATAAAGAGGAATACTTGTCTTATGCCACATTCCCATGGCAGCCCATACTCGGATCTTCTTCTCTACCTCCCACCTACCCATCAGAATGTGAGTGGGCCCTTCACATCCTCATGTACAATGTAGGACAAATGGTGGCCACTGGTGCTGCAAAAAGAACATTATATCCTGATCTGCAAACTTTCTTTGAATCAGTGGCTCAGGAAGTACTGAAACCAATAGGTCAGAATAACAACCAGCTAACAGACAGGCAAACCTTTCTGTTCCTACATCGGTTGCCTATTAGTGTTGCACATTTTGAAGCAGAGGGGGCACATATATTGTTTATAAGACTGCTCATTTTAAAAACCATATCATAATTTTTATTTTCTAAGACTGGTGCTTAAGGGCATCCTTGGAGTCTCTAAAACATGGCAACCTACAGTATGTAAATTTTGATTGCAAGAAAAAAAGTCAATGAAGTTGACTGCCCACAGTGGATTCCACTTTAGACCTCAATAACCGGTTTTGCTTATTTGCAATGCATTTTTTGATGGGGTTGAGGACATTTCTCATGACCAGGTCTCTCAAAGCAGCACTTGGGGGGGTCTCAGGGAAGCTTTTCCATGAATCATTAAGAAGGTATTGGCATCAATTAATTGGCGATGCTTGCTCCACACCTAGAAGTTGGTGTAAAAACTGGCTGGATGGCACTGAATTTGCTAAAGCACCGTGTATTATATTTTTTTGTATAATTTCTTGCATCTCAGAGCTCCCAATTTCCTGCAGCCTTTTTGCAGCCGCCTCTCATCTACATGCATGCACTCCATGGCTGCATAGCATTTAGTTTCCTGATGGTGACAACAGTGGACCGTGCCTAGTGAATAGGTATACATAATCTTTAGGGTTAATTGCTGAGTGTAGGGACAAGACAGGTTTGTTTTAAACGGCATTTGGGGTGTTCAAAATTCAGAATATTTGTTTTTTTACTATAAATATTTCTGCAAAAGATGCGTTCACAGATCAGATTTACATTAATGATAGTCTTAATTTTGTTCTCGTGTAAGCAGTAGCTACAATGCCCTGCTATAAGCTATATATAGCTTTCAAAAAAATTTAACCTGGACAATGTGATTATTGAGTCCCTGCAGACTTCATTTTAAAATGTGGTCCCTCTAGATCGGGGGTAGCCAAACTCCGGCCCTCCAGCTGTGGAGAAAATACAAATCCCATGATGCAGCTCTCTCCCCGGGAGTCATGTCTGTGGCTGTGAGAATCTTGCAATGCCTCATGGGATCCAGCTGTTGCCATCTGGCCACAGCTGGATGGCCGGAGTTTGGCTACACCTGCTCTAGATAGATAATTATGTACTAAAAGTCTTTGATAAGTCCTTATTACCCATAGAGATGTAAACTCAGATTCCTTGCTACACCCTGCCTACCACTAATTGCCATATGTAATCTATATCTAATCCAGGCCTCATACTTTCCTACCTTTAATCCCCTTTTCACCCCTTTTTGTAATACCCCTACTCCTTACCTGATACATTTCCCCCATCTCGCCTTTCAAACCTCTCTTCAATATATTTTCTAAATCTCTATCTGTTCTCATCTCTTGCAACACAACCACTAATTTATCATTGCTCCCTCTACATTGTGGAATACACAAAATAAACGTTTCATACTCCAATGTGATATTTACATTGGATAGGCACATGTACCCTTGCAGTTGCCTTTATTCTACACTTATTAATTGTAATGTTTCATTCCTTATTTAAGAAAAACTCAAATATTGAAATTAAAAAGTAGATAGAAAAAAAAAGGTTACAATATCAGACCTGCAAGGTTAGGCGTCTGCATTTTTGTGTAGTTACAGTGTAGTTCAAACCTTTCCAGGAAGAATTAACTGAAGCAAGTTTTGCAACTAATTAAAAGCTATAATCTATTTGCATTCTGTGTGTTTGCTGAACCATTAAATGACAGCGTGTAATTAACAGACTGACATAGTAATTAACTGTAACAGATCTGGGAGCTTACCAAGCTTGACATGACCGAAGCAAAATATGCATCCATCTGCACCGTTCACAACAGACTGAATGACTTCCGCCACGGTCCCAGAGCAAACTTCAGCCTGAAAATAAAAGATGGTAAAATGGCTACTTCTGGTTTTCTGAATATAATGGTTGAGAGATGGTGTGCACTCTACTATGGTATGCATGATAAAAAAAGACTTGAAAGCTGTTAGTTTTCACAGCAGCACATCTATTGAGTTGGACAACAGAAGGATTCTATCATTGGTACAAACATACTGCCACAGCAGCCTGTTTATTTCATTTGTAAGTTTGTATTTAGTATGTTCCTATGTACCCCTTCTATTTTACTTTCAGCTCCTAGTTAGGCACTCCCAACATCTTTGTCCTGCTGCTTAGTTTCTGTTTCACCCTTGTTAAGTAAGAAGGATTTAGGGATGGTTTACACCATCTCCAATGCGTTCTGCCACGGTTAGTGGCCAAAACGCACCGGATCGCATAGTGGAAGTCTCCACAAGGGAAACTTCCACTATGTGAGCAAGTGCATTTCGGCCACTAACTGTGCCAGAATGCATTGGAAATGGTGTGAACAGGCCCTTAAACAGAAAAGAGATAGAAACCTTGATGCATTTTGCATGTAAACATAATTGCCTACAAGGTGACCTTAAGAGCATGCACATTTATGTGCAAAAAGCATCAAGGTTTCTGTTTTGATGTTTGACTATTTGTGCCTCTTAGTTTGACAATAAACTTATGATCAAGCAGACGGTATTGTGCACCTGTTTTCTTCGTTATTTACAGTGGATTCTATTTCCAGTGCTCGCTGTAAATTGATACTAGGCATCAGCGCGAGATATATTTTGGGAAAAAAAGCCTGTTAAAGAAGAACTATTAGGTGAGTGATTTTCACTCACCCTCACAGTTCGAGCCGACGTGTGACAATGAAACTGTAACACGTCGGCTCAATAGATCAGGAAGTGAGCGAACACATACAGTCACTCTCTCCTCGATCATGTCCCTGCAGAGAGCCTGTCAGTCACGGCTACCTGCAGGGATTCCCCGCTCCGATCCTCCAGCGATGACTGGCGGAATGGACGGAGGAGGGGGCGGGTACAGCTGGCTCTGCCTTTAGATAGGCAGAGCCAGCTGTCAATCACGCAGCTGGGTGGATCTTGACAGTAATGTCGGGATCCATCCCGTGTGCGGCGGTCTCAGTATACCGCGAGCTGTAGCTCGCGATATACGGAGCTTTGGGTCACGGGAGGGCACTAGTTTATGTCCTCCCGTGACCCTTAGGAGAACTATGGGGAAAAACACTTACTTTAAAGGAGAACTATGGGGTAAGTTCTATCAATCGTTTAGCAACCAATGAAAGATGATGAGAAAGGCATTAAGAATATAGAATTTTGATCTTGTGAAAGAAAGATTAATGGGAAAAAAAATGTGGCTGAAACGATGCAGGGAATAGCCCAACGCATTCCATAAACACGGGAATAATTGGCGTTTTTGGAAATGTTCAGGTAATTGTGTATACATTTTATTTCACTGTGAAATTTTTAGATTTTACATTTGCTGAAATTTTATCAAAACTACGGTCACATTTTGCCATGCAAACTGCTTGGGCGAAATGTGCTGGAAACAAAAGAACATGGTTTTGTTATGCATGTCAGCACTATCAATGTAATCACACGGCTTTGTCAGTGACAGCTGCCATTGTTTTTCTTTGAAGGTGCACTCGATGTGCCCCTAGAAAGAAAGACGTTTGTTGGAATTCAGTGAAGTCAAAACTCTGTTTTGTTCATCTCCAATGATGGTGAGCTGACCAACCTGTGAAGCATCTTGAGGAAACACCGAATCGAAGGCAAACATTTTTGGGACGGCAACCACAGCTCTTCTGTGGCCTGTCATCGTGGGGCCACACGTAGACGGGTCATACAGGGTGATCTGTTTCTTCCGCGGGTCAACTTTTAAAAAAGACATGGATTCTGATGTGTCATGGATCCCTTGTGATGGACAGATTCTCACCATTACTTTCACCTGTAACGAATATCAATTGTTATTACATATTTGAGACATTTCAATTAATTTATTTTAAAAATAAAAATAAATTATATATATATATATTAATTAGAGGGTCTCAGTCTTTAGATTTGGTGTCTGCATTAGTTTCCTTTATTCCAGGCTTATTTTCTCTTTATCTTTTACCTGGTGGTCATGCCAGTAACACACTTCCCAGGGCAACAAGCCTTATTTGCCATATTGCATCTATAAAGAAGCAGTGTTGTCACCCAAGACAGGAAGTGTGTTAGCACTACAAAACGCCTCCCTGTTTCCACATGGGGGGAGGCATTTTGTAGTCATAACACATTCTGTCCTGGTGACCCTCATCACTGAAAGTTAAAGGAAATCCCACATTTTGGGTTGGCATCAAAACAGGAATAGATGGGAAATCTTCCAATGAGGGCACTAGTTTTGGTGACCCTGCTGTCCACCAGGGATTTTCCTCACTTTTGGAAAGATTTGCTCTCACTTCCCGGGGCTTGGCAATGGGGCAGGAAGTGAAGAGAAATTCCACCAATGGGACACAGATGGCAAATAAGAGATGTCCGTGGTTATATCCCTCCCTTACTCTATCCAAAACTGACTTCAGTACTACTTTAACAAACCTAATAAAACATGGTGTAGAGAGCAGCTTGGTGCTGTAAATGTAGCAGCCAATCGGAAACCAGCTTTCGCAAACCTTTCTACTTTAAAATGCCGAAGGCTGATTTTTTACTAGTTAACAAGGAGTTCTGTCCATTTGCAGTACGTTCTTAATAAACCTGAAAATAGGCTGTTAAAAGGGGGCTACAGGAAGTGCAATATTTGGGTCATCTCAGTTAGAAGCTTCACCTCTTGAGCCGGCAATAAAAATAGATTTTAATACATGCTACGGTTTAACAGTCCCCATGTTACCATATTCATCATTAAAGAGATTGGAATCCATTAGGTCAGCCCCCTCCACTACTATCTCATCTCCTTGGAGTAGCCTGAGGCTAAAGTGCTGAATTCTATAGGTTATAAAAAAAAATAAAACCTGAATAGACTTCATAATGTGGTAGGGAGGAGAATCTCACATCCGTACGCTACATGCGGTCAAAACCTGAAAGTACAGGAATTCTCGAGTGTGTATTAAGAGAGGAGATCCAACCATCGGAGGTTGATTTACATCTGCTGGTGAATAATTTTCTATAGCACTCACACCTAAGTAGCCAATTACTTTCCTCGCTTGTACTGGCATGGGGCTAAAGGAACTATAAGAACTGAAATTAAAAAGAGAAACACAAAGCGGGAAAAAAGATTAACTCTATTTAGACACCACATTTTTATTTTTGGTGTTTCTAAGAACCACGGGCTAGTATGCAATCTTAAAAATGTTCTGTACAAAAAAAAAAAAGAAAATCGATGCAACTCTGCAATACGTTCACATGTCCCCCATGCTTTAACACTAAAATTACATAAAAATGCCATTGATCCTGCCAGAAATCCAGCGTGCTCCAAGCTTCTTGCCTAAGCTGGCAACTCTTCCTCTGCTGCATGTAAATCCCAAGCATTTGTCAGCACTGCCCAGTGGTCTTCTGCTGGACTGCAGAACACTTCCTCCTCTCCTCATCTACATAACATAGGAGATATTCTATAGTCCTGATTGGAGAACTGAGCAGGGATAATAACACTGCTTTCAGTCTTGCAGAGGCAGAGATGAGGGCACCACAGAGTCCAAAAGTGCATGACGGTGTTGGAACTTCTTGCACAGCCTCACAGAGAAACACAAGCACACAGTCAGATATGCATGCTGCTCACGGCTTGGAAAAACAGGAAGGAAGCCACAGTTTTATTCTCTACCTTATTCAATACAACAGAGTATATACCATAGATATAACAGAACTTCATCTAGTGACTGAAAATTTATACTGCAGGAGTTATTGCAATAAATACAATAATGTGGATTCTAACAGAAGGAGCCAATGTGTTTCAGGGGTTAACACAATCCCCCTTCATCAGGGCATGAGGTGTAATCCAGAGGTGAATCCATTGGAGAATAAAACTGCTAAAAGTGCTAGTGATCACGATTCAATCATGAGGCAGGGCTGAGTAAATGAAGCGGCTAACCAGGACAGGAATGACGATCATTTGGCAGGTAAGATAGACCCCTTATGTATCTCATCTGCATATTTAGATGCTTGCATGGAGTTCAGGTCTCAATGAACGAACACATTATGCTAGCCCTTCCAGTTAGGCTCCAATCACACCTTGGCATGTTGTCACTCAAAGCTAAGCGCAACAAAACACTGAAGACAAGGAATCCCATTCATTTTTATTGCCCCTGTTCATACCTGAGCATTGTGTCGCAGGAAGTTTCCCTCTGAAGTCTATGGGACCAAAAAGCGCTGTAATCTGCCAAAAAGTGGCTCACGTACATTTTCCAGCAACCGGCATTTTTCTGCTCGTGAGAAAATGCTCGGGTGCGCACAGGGGCCATAGAAATGAATGGGATTCCGTATTTGATTGCGCTTACCTTTGAGTAACAAAACGCCTAGGTGTGAATGTGTTGTGTTGTTGTTTCACCTGGCCGCTGTAAATACAAAATGTTCATCAATGTGGTTTAATTAAAAATGTATAAATAAAACAAACATTCACCTGGTTGGTAATGCAGCCGTCTTATATTGTGTGACTACAATTATAGAACTTCCTTTTTAAAAGCCCACTACCCCCTCCTCACCTTCCCTGCCTGCCCCGCTATGCCTCCGGCTTTGGTTTAGCTGCATAATAAAAGCAGAGGTGCCCTGCATCCTCCCAGCCCAGGGGCTTCACCTCTGGCTACTCAGTAAATGAGAGAGGAAGAGAAGTGGGGGAGATGCAGGACAATGCAAACAAAGAATAAACAGCCTGTGATTATCCATTATGGTTATTACATGGGTGTGAGTTTTATTGTGTCCATTAAAAATGCAGCACTTTTTTTAACTCCTGCAGAGCCAATATTGGATCCCTAGGGCACGCGAATCGTGTGTAGGTAGGTTTATGATACTGCTGCATTGATTTATTTCAATCAAAAAATATTATATATGCTAATTCTTCTCGGCTACTATACACCAGAGACTGTATCCTCATATCTCTTGAATTTTATGTGCAGACACCAAATCCATCTTAAGTACCTTCTTCTCTATACATTTAATCACTCAGTCTTTACATGGTAACATTCACCCACCCTACAAGATAGCTGCTGCATGCTAATATAGGTAGGATTAACCACGCTGAGAAGGTAAATTATTGGAATGGAATGGGAATCCCTCTCTACCTTTCAAAGCACTACAGGGGAGTGCAATCAGAACCAAAACTGCTGCACAAAGCAGATTTCAGAATTTCTTGCACTCAAATGAAAGCTATGTGGGTTCATTAATGAAGCAGCAGATGTAGTTAGTACCAAGACGCGCGTTTTGACTGGTAGCTTAAGAGACATTGCGGTCAGTGTACAAACGCGCACTAAAATGTGCCGCATGTCCCAATTAAGTCTTGGGGGGGGGGGGGCGGTGAGGAAGAAACGAGCTGCAAACTGCCAAAAGAAGCTCATGTACTTTTTATTCTGTGTTTTGCTGCTCAGGTGTTAACAGGGGCCATTGAAAATCGTGGAATTTCTTGTGTTGGGGCGTTTTGAAGGTCTTTTTCTACTGCACAAAAATGCCTAGTTGTGAACAAGGCCTTTGGGGGACTCTAAACCTTTCCTAATGTACTAGAAATTGTATTTTTACTGTTTTCTCAGTCCCCACCACTTCCCAAGAGGGGTTCTAACCCTGTCTCATACTGTCCAGAACAAAACAGTTTTTCCTGGTGTTGAGTGTGTCTCGCTCACGCTCTCTCTCTCTTTCTCTCTGTAAAACTAGTGCCAGTTACATTATTGCAGAAAGTAAAGCCAGCTAGTCCCGTATCCCCTGCGCAGTGTCTCATACTGAAGAGTTAATCTGAGGACAGCGCAGTTTCATCTATTTAAATCTGCTCAACACATGGCACATAGTACAAGTGAAGCTTCAGGGAAGCAGCCTTGGGTGATTAGACTAGTTTTGGAAAAAACCATCAAAGAGAACTAAGGAAATAGCTTGTTCTATGCCAGTTCTACATTTGTACAGCTCAGGATACATAGAGTGTGAGTGTGTGTGTGTGTGTGTGTGTGTGTGTGTATATACACATTTATTTAATAAAAAAGAGACCCTGATGTAAAGGGAGTTAAAGTGAACCTGTCCTTTGCCCTTAAAGGGTAACAACAAACAGGTTTACTTAACTGGCCTCTCCCCTGTTGCACATTTTCATAGTCCCTTCCTTCCCCTACTGCTCCTTTCAACGGTCAGAAGCACAGAAAATGACCATTATTTCCAGGTATGAAGAACATGCCATTCATCCTCTTCCCTCCTACGTTACGGTACTGGTGCTTGCCGATTGGTTCCTCAGGCACCTGACACTGTCACATGCAGGGGAGGACCAGGTCCTCAGCCCTGTGTAAGCTCCAAGGCAGTAACAATTTGCGTTATTGGAAAAGAACCATTTAATAAGGCCAAAAAAAGGGGCAATAACCTAGAACAACCATTAGCAATCATAATTGTTCTGACTGCTCCAAGGAATAATCCAATCTGGATGCTATAGGTTACTGCATGCGTCCCTATTAAATAAGCCCCATAGTGTTATGTTCACGGTGCATGTTTCACCAGCATAAATAAAACTAGCTGCTTCCTAAGAAAATGTGCAGCTCCCTCATTGCTACCATTTCTGAACATCATAATAGCAATAAAAACACACTTAGAGGTAAAAAAAAATAGATCAGAGCTTATTTCTTTGTCTAGAAGAAGAATGATTTAGACGGCACATCTAATAAGGCTCTTTTTTCCCTCCATCAGCGGCACGTTATAAAAGCTTTCATAAAAAGTCACATTACTTCGGCGAGCGACGCTGCAGCGGAACAGACTGCCTAATAGAGTACAATGCTCTCTTCCCGCTGCCGCGGTGATCTG